GTGTCAACTTTTGTCAGTTTTGTCAAATACCCTGCGTTTTGGAAGATGATGCATTTTGATTAGTGTTATTACGTGTGTTTTGTGTCTTTTGAAGTCAAGTGGAGGAAAAATCGAGTGAAAATTAACTGTAGACCCAGAACACAGTTTATGGTTAATACTCGCTGCCCAGGCAAAAAGTCTTATACACCAATAAAGTTACCATCATTAAAGTTCGTATACCATCTCGTCGTAGATAAGTGCATCTCGAATATGGTAGAAGGACCATACTAAACACATGCTAAAAACTGGAGTAGCTGTAAAATATCGACATCACACGATACGTAAATAATGGATTTTAGTACTGCACAAGAAAAATAATGCCAAAGGTACTGGTTTAAAAAATTAAGATTAAAGTTAATTAATCAACCTTTTAGGTACCTATAAAATTTGGTAAGTGTTATTAATAATAAAATAGTTTGTTTTATTTATGTTGTTTTATTTATTCCTTGTTTTGTATTAACACATGCCGTTTTTTATTAAAAAACTCGATTACATTTTTTCAGTTTTATACAGTTTTTTTCACAATATTTTGAAGTAATCACTTGTCAGTCAAATTTTAAATATAATAATTTCCTGCTATGCGTTCCAGTTGTACCAACTTATTTCTTTGTAAAATAAAATAAACTACTTTGTCAAGGATCTTCTCGTTGGACAGACTATATAAGCATACAGAGTCAGTAGGAGGAATACAATAGAACACAAAGGAGAAGGATTGTAAACTCAGATAACAGCGACAACCAAAAACTAAAGAGGCAACAAATTAATGAGATTTTTGAATGTCCGGAGTGCTGAAGAGAGATAACCTCATGTATCGAGCTTTTTAGTCACAGAAAAGCTCATGAAAAAAAACGCCTTGCGTAACCATCTTCTGATGCGTATCAAATACTCGTCAGCGAGTAATGGCAGTAAGTAACATTGAAAATAAATTTTCTTAGCTTTAACTCAGACTACTTGAAATCTTTTCTATACTAGAAAAACAAATTAAATAAATACATTAACGAAATTTATATTCTCTGTGAAAATATTGCTATTTGAGACAAGAAAAAAGACAAGTAATTTTGCAAAAATCGCGTTTACGTTGCTTTATTAAATATCAAGCTCTGGATTTGCGTCCAACGTCGAAACGTTCTCGGAAATACATTCAAAGGAAAACTTTAAAAAGAAAATCTAATAACTAAGAACTACAACACTTGCTTTGAGTCTAAATATTAAAAAAGTTTTCAGTAAACGAAAAAAGTTTTCGTAGAGATTTATATGTAGGTGTATAGGAGTATTTTTTAATAACAAAATCTTTCGAAAGGAACAACATCCTGTCGTATGAAAGGTAATTGAAAATAATCACTAAAGTAGCGAATAAGCGTTATATTCCAGGCAGTTAATTTTTGTTGTATTTACTTTCCGAGTGGGTGAATATATAAAAGTTCGTTCGGATGTATGATTGATGTATGATTTTTAAAATGAACATCGATGACATTCTCTATATAATTAATTTGGTTAATAAATAAGTGAAATATAGTACAATTCTTTTAAAAGTTCCTCAATATGGTCGACCTAGTTACGAAAATTGGTATTTTTTTTTAATGAAAAATAAGTTGGCGTTAGCGAATTCAGAACCTTTATTTACTCTTTGGTTAACAATAACATTTTTCAGGATTGTCAAGTTGACGTTAAAGTTAGGTTATTAGGTGGTTGTCATAAATCATAAATAAAAACATAGATTATTGAAATTATTTAATAAGAATAAAGGTATTTTACCGCAGATCTGAAGAGATTTTACTTAAAGGTATTTTATAAACTTTCTCAGTCAGAATATTAACTCCCCTGTTTCTTATATTTCAGTTAAAGGGACTTATAGGCAGTGAATTTTTGTTTTCATGTTTTGACGATATCTGAAAGTTCCTAGAATTATCAAGATTATTAAATAAAAATAGTTGTTTAATAAGTGAAATTAATAAAAAGACTTGGAAATAGGATGATGCGTTTCATGTTATAGTTGATAGATCACCCCATTTCTCTTAATTTGTTTTTATTTCAGTACAGTTAATCACAAATTGAATTGATGTGTGCAAAAACAGCTATATATTTTCAAACATCTGATTTAAATAGTTCTTTTATATACTGTTAAACTGTATCAACTACAAAGTCTTTAGCAAAAAGTTATAAGGTAATAAATTTTGTAGATATAATTTATGAAAATTTATATATAAAGATTAGAACACAATCCTCTTTGGGAAAAAGAAATACTGAAAAACTCATTAAATATACTTTATTAAAAATAACAACATACAAAAACAGTCATCCATGCAAACTGTAATAATCAGAACATTATCCATATTATACCTTTATTAAATTTGTGTTCACACTCCTGTCAAGAAAGCCAGAAATGTTTGTTTAAATATTAACTTATTTTATATTAAGCCATTTTAAATTAAGCCAGAAACACATCAGAATATGTCACAACCACAACTATAGGTTTGGAATCAGTACTAAATTTTATACCTAGTGATGTCAACTAACAAGTATAGGATAAAAAAGAATTATTAATATAGAGTGTACTATACGATGTCCTTCTGCTTATTTATGAAATGACTTTCCTTTCAAATGTGAGGAATAAATAAAAGTAAATAAAACATAAAACGTAAATTTTGGTTTGGTTTGGTGTTTGATATTCTAACTACATCTATTACAAACCTTAAGTGCTTTTAGTGAGTAACTGTATTTTTTATTATTGTTTGTGTATCCTGTAAAGTAAAAAAATATATATTTCAAGAAATATAAAAACAATGCAATAGATATCAAACAGATTCATAAAAACTACTTACAATTGTACATATTATATATTTCAAGTGTTATTTGATTTTTGGTCCCATTACCAACATTACCTTAGGTCTTCTCTACTAACTCAACTTTTAAACCTGTTTTAAACCTTCTTTATATTTTAAAACTAATTTACAACAATCTGTAATGCCCGCGCTGTTTCCTGAAATTCATATACGTTTTAATCTATTTATTATCATAACATATTAAAAACCTCAAAATTACTGATACGAGGAAACTTCTCAAAATAATTAGAGACCTTTTTACAAACATCTGGACTAATTTATTTTCACGAATTTGTGGACGAATCAATGTTTTCTAATACGTTTTTAAGCGTTTTACACATTTTTTTGAATATCTTCCAGCCTATTCCTCAGTTCTTGATCGGTGAAAAGATTATTTACAAGTATATAATTAGTACTGCAGGCTGCAGGTTAATTAAAAGAACAAAATCAAGTAGAATTTGTGAATAAAAACTCAAAAAATAATGAAAATATTTATAAAAAGGAACCGTAAACGTCAGTCAGTCAAGTGTCAGAGTTCAATTAGATTTACCACAGATTATCAATTTGAACGATTTGAACTACAGTCGATTCCAGTCTAGAGATTTTCGTTTTTAAGCCTCCCATACTGAAGTCCGCCATATTGGGAAGTTTTAGGTGAAAACTTTGAATAAGAAGACTAAGGAAGGAGCATATCAAAAATCTTAGGTACACCGCGATGGGCCTCAAATATGGCCGACTTAAATTCCGGTTTATCAGTGTCGTTCTAATTTTATTTAAAAAATGTAAAACTATGATGTAAGGTAGACGTGGGTTAAACTCAATAATTTGTTGTTTTATTTTACGTTGTGAATAAATGTTGGTAGTTATTAAAATTGTTATAAAAATATATAATTCTAATAAAAATAGATAAGTTATAATAAGTATTTATTAACACAAACATCCGATACGCTACTGAAGCAGGCAAGTCAAATTAACGTATCTAAATTCTTTGACATCTAATCTTTGACAAGTAATAAATAAAAGCTAAAATGCAAGAAAAATATATAATTTAGTTAATTTAAGTGAATTTCATAAATGATCGGTTTACTACACGTATGTATATTATGTAGTCACTTACACGTATGTATATCATATAGTCACTTACAAAAAAAGTGAAAAGTTGTTCCATTATTTCACTCAATTTTTGCCGAGATCTACCGCACGCTACACAACCAACTATTTCAGAGTCTTTTTCGATAAATCGCGATAGTGCCACTGTTAATTTAAGTTCTGCCACAATTTCCATCTGGATTTACTACCTTTATACAACTATCAGTAGTAGAATAAATAATAAATAACATAAAATAAGCTCCATAAAGACTGACAAATCCACAAAATTTCAAATCAAATTCAAATGTGTCAAATGAATCGTCAAACAGAACTGTCAAGGATCCCCACCCTAGAGAGCTTTTATGGTGCCTTTTCCGCCCACCATGCATGAATACATGGATAGCATTATTTTCCTTGCTTAGTCTTCTTATTCAAAGGGTGAAAACAAGTACCGTATGATCGAATAAAAATGGCGTCAACGATGTAAATGTAAATGTAAAATTATATGGCATCGATCGTCATTTCCAAGCCAACTGGACGCCGTTTTTTTCGATCATACGGTATAAATACCTGTATTTCTAATAGAGTATACAAAATATGAAAGTGTTTCCTATTTAAATTAATGTGTAAAACCCCTGTGTTTCCCGGTTGTGAACCCTAGTGACAGGACAGAAACGTTATGTGTAAACGGAGCTTAACACTGGTCTTACGAATAGACAAAAAATAAATTACTTTTTATATTGCATTTATCGCCATGCACTAATGCATGCAACTTTAACATAAATATATCGACTTTTAAAAAACAGTTAAAAAAATCCCATCTACTTAGTGAAAGTTCCAACATTTTTAACCCACTCTATCTAGCAAATCTATCTATCGACTATAAATTTTGTAATTGGGTTATTACCGTGTTTAATGGTTATAATTTTACGGATCTGATGCAATCGGCAGTCGGCCATTTTCAATTTGTTTGACTTCTTGAATGCCGATAGCAGATAAGAGAGGTGAAGCATTGTGTGCTTTTGTTTTTAAGCCAGCCACCATTGTGGCAATGTGTTGAGTAACCATAAACCGCTCGCGTGAACAAGAAACTTCGAGAGTTGGCAACCCTGGTTGACAGTCGGATTATTAACCTATTATTGAGAATTGTAATGTCGGAGTATTGATATAAATAAACTTATTTTGTGTTACTAGTTTTTGATTATACTTATAGTTGTTAGTTCTTAGAGGTAGCACAACTGGCGACGAGAAGTGGTTTACCTACTTACGCGCGTTAAAAAAGGGGTGAGTACATACCAAATAAAAAAAAAATAATTTAATATAAAGAAAAATGTGTGTAGAAATGGTTTACTGTTACCCTGTTTAAAGGGCAGTTTAAAACGTTTTTCTGTTTATAATTTTACGTGCTGTTACCCTATGAATAGGGCAGCTCAATGTAATAGAAAAAATACTTCATTAATAGGGCAGTCAACGAGCTGTTACCCAAATATTTGGGCAGTTCTGTGAGATAAAACAAGATAAATTAGAGGCTGTTACCCTTATGAAGCTATACCTATACACGATCACTGTTACCCTATGATTAGGGCAGTGCAATGAAAAAAAAAGAGGTACATCATCAACAGGGCAGTCAAAAGTAAAAACAAGGTATCCAAAGAGCTGTTACCCAAACATTTGGGCAGTTCTGTGGGATAAAATAATACATAAAGGCTGTTACCCTTATTTAGCTATGCCTATACATAATATATGTAACTGTTACCCTACTTTTAGGGCAGTTCCGGATGAAAAGCTTCCAGTAGACACAAGCAGAGGAAAAAAATAAGAGACTGTTTCTTTATAACCATAATATTGTTTGTCACAAATTGGTAAGTGAATAAAAATGAAATTCATATTAGATAACAACTTATTAATTTCACTAAGTCAAAATTTATTTATCACAAAATTTAATGGATTATTAATTAAGGCATATTTTCAATAATGACGAATGATTTTATTGTATGATGTAAATTAAAGTAAGAATAAAAGGTAACGTTTATTATTAATAAACAACACAAATACAGAGATTATATTAGAAAAGGGATTTCTTTATAAACTCAGCTGTCAGCTCTTACTCTCGACTACTAATACAAGTGGACACGATAACTATAAAAACCATCTAAACATCTAGATACAGTATTACTTTTAGTAGTTAGTGTATATGTAGATTTGCCATTGTATATTCTACAGATTTCAAATGACTTGGCGATTGCTTATATAATCACAACATTTATTCTGTTTACATCGCCCGGAATTTTGAGCGGTGTTATCGCAAGAAAAAAAGAGATTTAATTTATGACCACAGTATTTTTATTCTATATAGTTTTAACTAACTGATAAGTGGTTTTTTTTTAGGTTTGATTAAGATATACTATCAATATTGCCATCTATTAATAATAATGAATGTTTAACAAAACATTCGCTTTATTTTTGTTTATATTACGTATTGTATAATAATATTAATTTTATTTTACTGTAAGTACAGGGAAAGTTAATAATAAGTTAATTTCGAATGATTAATTTGATTTTCAGATTAATGATGTCTGAAAGCAACATCAGATCATTCCTGTGCGATAACATCGATAAAGCTCTGATTAGGGGAGAATGGGAAAAATGGTTACGATCTCTAGAATTATATCTGGCCTCCGAAGATATTACTGACTTCGCAAAGAAGAGAAATAAACTTTTGCATCTTGGAGGAGCTCAGCTGCAAGAAGTAGCCTATAACATCCCGGGGGCCATCGAAACATACAATGATAAAGAAAATAATGATGTATTTAAAATCTTGGTTGAAAAGCTAACTGATTATTTTTCACCAAAACAGAATTCGACTTTTGAACGGCACCTGTTCCGAAGCCTCAAACCAGAGCAGAGTGAAAGCTTCAATAAATTTGTTTTAAGAGTAAGACACCAAGCCACCAAGTGCTCGTTTGGAAACTCTGCTCAAGAAGCACTAGAAATTAACGTTAAAGATAAGATCATCGACAGCTGGGCTCCTACTGAATTGAAAAAGAAATTGTTGGAAAAAGAAAGATCGTTAGATGAAATCATAGAAGTTTGCAATGTCCACGAACAAATTGGAAACCAATCTAAAGCTATGGATTCTATCACAGCCGGCCCTAGTACTTCTTTTGCTATTAATAAAATTCAATCTAGCAACAAAAACAATTCTAACCAGTGCACGAGATGTGGAAAATTCCGTCATTTAAATAAAGATTGTCCTGCTATCGGCACCAAATGTCACAAGTGTGGATTTATTGGCCATTATGCATTCATGTGCAAAACGAGAATAGGAACAAAGCGTTTCAGTAATAATACGACACCATCATACCAGTCTCATAACAAACGTAGAAGACCAGGATCTAAAATAAATTTTATTGAAGGTGAGAACGAAGAAACAGAACAGACAGAAGCCATTCGAGATTTTGAATGTTTCAAGATCTCGGGACACTATAAAGAAGAAAATAACGATGATCTCATAGAGTGCAGCTTAGGAGGGGTGCCAGTAACTTTACTAATAGACTCAGGATCCACCGTTAATATTGTGAAAGGAGATGACTGGAAGATCCTTACGAAACAAAACGCTGTTTTGTGGGATATTGACCCACAACCTCAACATAACCTGAAAGGGTACGCATCAGGGAAGCCATTAGATGTACGGCATACATTCCAGTCAACAATCGCATTACAAGCAGGTGAAGAAATCATAACATCTTTCTATGTCGTAGATCAAGGGGACATCTCTATATTAGGAAAAGATACCGCTAAACAGTTAGGAATTTTAAAGTTGGGCATAAACATAAATCAAATTGAAATGTCAAAACCATTTCCTAAAATTAAGAATATTAAAATTAAACTGACAATTGACCCCCATGTGAAACCAGTACGGCAACCAGTAAGAAGAGTGCCCATTTCAGTCGAAAAGCAAGTTGAGAAGAAGCTCGAAGAGGCATTGCTTTCTGACATAATAGAGAAAGTGACCGAACCAAGTGCATGGATCTCACCAATAGTTATTATATTCAAACCAAATGATGACATCCGCATATGTGTAGATATGCGGCGAGCGAACGAAGCAATTATAAGAGAAAATTATCCTTTACCGACTTTTGAATCCTTCATGACCAAGCTAAGAGATGCTAAATACTTTTCACGATTAGATTTAACAAATGCCTACCACCAACTGGAGCTTGACGAGGAAAGTCGTCCGATCACAACGTTCATAAGCCACAAAGGCATGTTTCGTTATAAACGTTTAATGTTTGGCGTAAATTCAGCACCCGAAATTTTTCAGCGGGTATTCGAAGAAATGCTGTCCTCTTGTAGGAACTGTCTTAATTATCTAGACGATGTGATTATTTATGGTAGTACAGAATTTGAACATGATATTTGCCTAAAAAAGGTATTAGACGTATTTTCAACAAATAACGTGCTATTAAACGAAGCAAAGTGTGCCAAGAAAGTACAAGAACTTTACTTCCTGGGACATAAGCTTTCTAGTAAAGGCATTGAAGCGGATCAGTTGAAGATACAAACTGTTTTAGACTTTCGACCACCCAGAACAAAGGAAGAAACAAGGAGTTTCTTGGGACTTGTCACTTACCTTGGGAAATTTATACCGGATCTGGGCACCACAACAGAGCCCCTTCGACAACTAACGAGAGAAAATCAGAGCTTTGATTGGTCAAAAGCTCAGCAGGAGAGTTTCGAAAAACTCAAAGACTTACTAGCAAGCCTTCCAACTTTATCCTATTTTGACCCCAAATTAAGAACACGATTAGTAGCCGATGCTAGTCCGGTGGCATTAGGAGCAGTCTTACTCCAGTTCAACAAAAAAGAGGAGCCACAAGTAATATCTTTTGCTAGCAAAAGTCTCTCTTCAGTAGAAAGGAGGTATTCTCAAACGGAGAAAGAAAGCTTGGCACTTGTCTGGGCAGTAGAGCGTTTTTACTATTACCTATCTGGTTTGGAATTCGAATTAGTTACAGACCATAAACCATTGGAAGCAATATTTAAACCATCGTCGAAGCCACCAGCCAGAATCGAAAGATGGGTTCTAAGACTTCAGTCATTCAAATTCAAAATTGTATACCAATCAGGGAAACAAAATATAGCCGATTCATTATCCAGACTATGCCAAATAAAAAATGAACCGCCATTCGATAAAGAAAATGAACACCATATTTTCACCGTGATAGAAAGAAATTCACCGCAAGCTATTAAAATATCACAGGTAGTAGCAGAAAGTCAGCTTGATGGCCAAATAACCGAAGCAGTAAACAAAATAAACAAGGAATGTTGGGAACCGACAGACAAAAATATTTTCTATCCATTCCGTTTGGAATTAACAACAGTGGGACACGTCATTTTACGAGGTAATAGATTAGTGATACCTGAGTCCTTAAGGGAACAGGTACTACGACTAGCACATGAGGGTCATCCGGGGGAGACAGTCATGAAAAGAAGACTAAGAGCTAAAGTTTGGTGGCCTCTCATAGACAAAGCTGCCGAAAAATTTGTCAAAAATTGTCGCGATTGCTTGTTAGTTAGCTTACCAGATAAACCACCCCCAATGACAAGGCACAAATTCCCAGAGGGACCATGGCAATGCGTCGCAATAGATCTCATGGGACCTTTACCGAATCACGAACAACTTTTGGTTATTGTGGACTACTATTCAAGATATCAAGAGATCATTTTTCTCAAAAGTACGACGTCTTCAGTTATAATCAACCATTTGACGGAAATATTTTCCCGGTTAGGAATACCAAGATCTATAAGAGCAGACAACGGACCTCAGTTCACTAGCCAAGAATTTAAGAACTTTTGTTTACATAACAATATAGATTTAATACATACACCGCCATATTGGCCTCAGGCGAATGGAGAAGTTGAAAACATGAATAGAGCTATTTTAAAACGTCTCCAGATTTCACACACAAACAAATTAAATTATAAAACTGAGCTACATAAATTTACAATGATGTATAACGCTACGCCTCATGGAACTACTGGAAAAGCACCCTCAGAATTATTATTTAACAGGATAATTCGCGATAAACTTCCATCGGTAGCAGACTTAGTTAATGAGCCAGGAGACGAAGAGGCCTACGATAATGATTTGCTGAATAAAAACAAAGGGAAAGAAAAAGAAGACAAGGCTAGACACGCGAAAATAATGGACATAAGAGAAGGAGACAAAGTTTTAATTCAGAACATGATAATTCCACATAAACTCACTACCCGGTTTAATAATGAGGAGTTTACTGTGATTGAAAGAAAAGGAAATGAGGCTACATTGTCTGGACAAGATGGCCAAATCTTAAAACGACATGTAAGTCATTTGAAGAAATTGACAGAACCATCAATGAAAGATAAACATGATAAAATGAGAAATGTAATAACCCAATCGTCGATTCCTAACCCTCTTTCAACAGATCCATCAACCGCCCAACTTACCGGACCAAATAAGGAACCAACAGCATCGGACAAGTTACCCCCGCTGAAATTGAAAAAGATGGAGGGATTGTGGCAATGTGTTGAGTAACCATAAACCGCTCGCGTGAACAAGAAACTTCGAGAGTTGGCAACCCTGGTTGACAGTCGGATTATTAACCTATTATTGAGAATTGTAATGTCGGAGTATTGATATAAATAAACTTATTTTGTGTTACTAGTTTTTGATTATACTTATAGTTGTTAGTTCTTAGAGGTAGCACAACCATGTCTTCGGTGGTTGTGTTGCTTTGTTTTTGGTACACGGTGTTGTGTCTTCATTTATTAGCCAATATTTAAACAGGGTTTTGTTAGTTTGATGACTTTTTTTGTTACATAATCGTTTCCCCCACACGCTGATTGTGTAGGCCAGTTTGCGCAGTATATTATTATTATTGTTTTTGCATATTGTAGATTGTAAGGGAGGGAGAAGTTTATAGATCTATTGTGCCCCCTTTTTTCAGTTATACAGTCTCAGGGCTTTGACAAAATCAGTATCTGAGACGGCTCTACAGAGGTTAGTTCTCCATCTCCGATATCAGTCGTACCTTCCTCACATAATCTAGAATCATAGTTGTTTCTTAGCTTCAGCCTACTGATGTGTTCATTCGGGAGAGAGTCTTCTGTTAAAAAAAACCATGACAATCCAATGAATGTTACTTAAATCAAGGCAAATCTTTGAATTTTCTCGGCCATAAGCCCTGAGAAATTTCTTTGGGTGTCTTGACAGTTGGAAGATTTACATTCCAGGATACGGATGGAGTCTTCCACGTTCTTGAGTTCGGTTTTAATCTTAATCTTAATCATCTTGTGATAGATTTTGACAATTTGTTTTAACTCTGAATTTGGTATTTATTAAACGAATCCAGTACATTTTGGACTTTTCAATCAATACACTTTTTCCATAGACCTCTCTTTTGATATCTCTTGTTCTGTGCATATATTTTACTTAATTATTTACTGAGCTAGCTGGAACCTATTTGTACCGGAACCTGGTGAATCCGAGTTCCCATTATAAACATTTTCACCCAACGGTGACGTTAGAGATGGCAGCATTTATTTTTCCTCTAGTTCTAGGATTTCTTCAAGTTTTTTAGTCTTTGCACTACTGTGATTTTGTCGAGTTGACTGAGCATCAACTCGACAAAACCGCAGTACCAAACCAAACCCGACAGTCCTGCACCATTTCTCAGTGATTCGGAGTCCCCTTTGGATAATATCACACAGAGTGGTTTCGTGATACCTAACAAGAGATACCAATTTCTACAGTTAATCGTTGAAGGAAATATTGAGGAAAAAAGAAATAGCTGGGACTTAGGATAGGCTTGGTGCATTTCAGTTTATTTTAACAAATTCCGACCGCAGCGCTTTAACGGCAAAAATCAGTAATTACCAGTATATAGTTCACGCCGGCGCGGCGCCGCCGTCATGTTGATCGCATTAGAATAATATTGAAATCGTGGTTTTGTCATAATATTTAAGATTTTAGTTTTTTGCTAGTACAGTTATTGAGACTATAAAACACTCAGGTAGGAGATTTGTGTGATGTAACGCTGTTTCGGGTAGTAAAAAATAAGTGAAAAATAATTCGAACTAGGCATCGCGTCGTGTTGTGTTGTGACAATTTCAAATATTAATAAAATTGCCGAAAAAATGGTAACGCGTAGAAGAGCGTAATCAAGGCATTGTTAGGTGCAGTAACATTCAATAACTCAATTTTTCCGTAAACAACGTTTTATAGATTTATAGTTTCTCCCGTCGATTTGATTAATAGCAAAAAAGGATTCAAGCAGTTCGACGAAACAAGTAAGTAAACAAAGTGCTCATTAGATAATCAAAAATTTAAATAGACATATACTAGGAGAGGATAAAATATAATTTGCAATATTAATGATTACAGTGGGGGGTTGGAACCTTTGGTGTTACATAGCAAAATAAAACACTAAATTATCACAATACACCAAAACACTTTCACTTTTACACTGGACGCGCGTTTCGCTAACCATGTTAGCATCATCAGCAGATGATTATAAACTCAATAATCATAACTGAATAAACTTTTTCAATTCAACTAGTGAATGTTTTATGAACATCTTCTAAAATTATAATTATGTACCTATAAAAAATTCCGTTATAGCCGAAATAGCCCCAATTATGCCCCACTAGCAAAATCGATGATTAAAACTATGCTCGCTACAGTAGTTGAACTCATCTAAAAAATGTTTGTAACTGGAATTAACAAAATTACACCTGTAGATATTATAATATTTATTTTTTATTTTTATTTTTAGAATTTTCACGAATTATACTTTCTAACACTTCCTTACATTATAATTAAATTATAAATTTTTTGTATTCTCGCTATTTAAACGCGTGTATTTGGATTATGCTAGTTGTTTACGATATTCTCCGATGGTGGCAGCACCGGCGGAGAATGCACCAAGCTCCTATACGGAAAAAAGAAGAGTGAACAACCCATAGATTTAGGAAGAACAGATATCACATTGTGCATTTTAACCCGATCAAACAATCGGAAGTTGACTACGTACTGTAAAAACCAACTGAGATAGAGAAGGCGACATTGCCACGTCTCAAATTTGCGCCTATCTACTTAATTTGATTTGCAGAAAAGGTGACTTTAAAACCTTCACCGGATATCAATAAATCTCAATTTCTTAATTAAATTAATAGTTTATTTTTAAAGAAGCATGCGTAATATTATGTTATTAACCAGAGGATATATGCGTTACTATTAAAGGACATGTTTACTGTGTAATGTGCTGAAACGTCTAGAACTATTGGCAACGTCGCTGCTAGTCTTCCAGAATGAAATGAGCCGTCCGTCCCACCACACCTCGCGACGGCCCTTGATCCGTTATAGCGCACTACGTTTAGCTTACGGTGTGTTTGAAGTCGGAATCAAGTCCTAAGTGAACTTTTCAGTGTTTTTCAGTAGTTTTTGCTTTTGTTTAACATACTTTTGAATTTGCGAATTTTCAATATGGTACGACAGTGTCAAATATGTGGAAAAATAAGCTCAAATTACCCGAATTTGTCTTTTCACAGGTAGGTATTGTTTCCGCCGCGCCGTAATCGCCGTACATAGGCGTCCCACAAGGGAGCCTCTCACAATTAAAATAATTTCTAATTATATTTGTTGAATTTTGAGCTATTAAAACAAGAACGTAGTAGCCGGTAATTGAATTATAATTCGTCTCAATTACTACTTAACTGTTGTAGATCATAACAAATTTGAATATAAACATTGCATTTGAAACTTTATTATAAGCCAGAAAGCGACATTTTTTTTCTTAAAATTGCGTCATATTTTGGTCATTATATACGATATTCTAAAGGAATTTTGCTCAACAAATAAACAAATGTGTTTACACGCCCTTTTTTACATTTTATTGCATTATTATATCTGCCCCTTAGGCCTCGTTTAAACAATTTTTTACCACCGTACAATACAAATACCTCTTTCTAGAGTTATTTGTGCGGTGTGTTTACCTTTTTTTTAGAATGGGACGAACTGTAAATAATTCTTAGGCTACTAGTTTTATACATACCTATATACAGAGTGACCCAGGCCTCCAAAAAAGCTTTTTACCTATTACGTTTTAGGTTTGTAATTTTTATTTCAATTTTTTACATAAGATGGGGGCCATTGTAACGCACATTTTCAAAATATTTTTGTCAACATACAGGGTGATTCTCGGGGTGATTCAAACCGCAATACATATATGCTTAATACAGTTCATGAAGATTGGGACATTTAATTAAAATTTGATTGTCTGATGAAGCTACCTTTAAAAGTAATGGATTTGTAAATAAACGTAATATTCATTATTATGCGACAGAAATCCCATACTGTAGCACACAGATTTGATACTTTTAATGATAAATGCCTTCTATTGAGAGACTAGAAGGTAATTGCCTCGTATCAGAGCCATCATAATACAAGAAGACCGAAAGTCAAATTTTGTCTTATATTTTCAAAAAAACACAATTTTCTCATTAAATATTGATTTTAGGTATATGAAGTTATTAATAATACAAGATTAAACAACTATTACATAGTACTTTACAGGAAGCTATCGATTGCGAACTAACTAAATCGTTACTAATTATTAATTTTAAAAAGTTCTTTTTAAGATCAAAAAAGGTAAAACTAAAACCTAAATTATCATTTGAGATTAAACGGAAGTTCTAAATAATGTTGCCTATTCTAAACAAGAAAAATGTATTTATAAGTTTTATAACATCTCTAATTAAATTTGGACGAAAATAATATTTCTGTTTGCTGTAGGTAATTTTCTCAGGAAAATACGTAAATAGAAATGACTTTTAAGTAAAAAAAGTCAAAAGGACAAGTTATTCCAAAAAGGACTGTCCTTTTCAAAAAGGACAGGTGGCAACCCTAGGTATTTCTGGAATGGAAATTTAATGGCAAATCTACAACTTTAGTTTGAAAATATGTTCCGGCCCCCTATGTTTACAGAAATGTCTAAAATGTGCTTTACCATCGCCTCCATATTCTGAAAAAAAAATTGAAAGAAAAGACACCAACCACAAACCTAATATTGAACTGTTTCGGAAGCCTGAGTCACCCTGTAAATATTCAAAAGTAACTGAAAGTTTATATAGAATTAACTGAAAGTTTAAATTGAAAATCGACGTTGGAGCGATTTTCGAAAACTACCTACTAACGTTTCAACATAAGTATATGTGGGATATTAATTATATTATTATATTAGACCTTATAACAAAACTCATCTGACGAAAAAGTATTAATGTAGTATATTAATATGGAGTAAACATTTTACTAATTACTTTACTTTTACTTTACTAATTAAATTCGTTCCAAAAAACGATACGCCACTGGCCATTAGAACAATCCAAATGCGCCTAGTTGCCGGGGTCGGAAATTTTAGACTTCTCTGTCTCTTCTGTCCTTGTTTGACACATTGGAATGTTTGATACACTACCAACGAGTATTTATGAATGAGATGTTCGGTCTATAATTATAATGTCTTTGGAACAACCACTGATGGTTTTGTAGGAAATTAAAAAAAAGGAAAATTAAAACAGTCCGTTATGAGAAAAGTCATATATAGAGGAACTTTAAAATTTCGCCAGCGTATTTTCTCGTGCAACGTCGTCACGTAATTCGCATCG